AACTTGTAAAAAGTCAGGACACCCTAGGCTTGCTGCCACCTGCTGGCTCCCGTGAGGTTCAGCATCTGATAAAGCCTCATGCAGTATGTGAGTGGGGTGAGGCAGGGTCTCAGGGAGTCACTAGAGTGGGAAGAGTCGTGGTCACCAGGTTAATGTAGACTGGTTTGGTGACAGTGCTGAGCCTGGAACAACTCAGAAAAATCTCAGTGCATACTGAGGCCAGTTGCCACCTGCCTGGGGCTCTTGGATTCCAAGTTTCCCAAGAAAGAGTGCAATGTGGGCGGGGCTGGCTGCTTGAGGAGAAAGTACCTCCAGCATTGGGGGAGTTGGTGAAACAGGGTCCCAGCTGAGTCTGCAGGGCGGAACAGTGGAGCTCACCAGGCCAATCAGATTCACATTTTGCCTGTGGGGGAGGGCTCAGTATAGGAAAATTGTGTTGGCCTGCTGGCTGCAGGGCTGCACAGCTGATTTTAAATGACTCCTCATTGGAAAAATGCTGACTGTCCTCCAGTCCTCCCCCTGAAGCTACACACCTCAGTCTGCCCCACCATATATCTCTGAGGCCCTGGGAGTCACCTTCCCTTCACTGGAATCTAAGGTAAGTGCCTGCAAGCATATAAGTCTCTGCATGGGCCGTTTAAGAGGACATTTGGGCTTCACGCAGCCTTTCGTCCCACCCAGATGGTCGGAATCCCCACTGTTTTGCACAGCCAGATATTTTGGGGGCTCCTATTCTCGGCACCAGTACTCTGGGCTGGGGAGCCTGGTGTGGAGTGCTGGGATCACTCGCTCCTCTGGCGGGAACCTCCGCAGTTGAAATATCCCTCCTGATTCTCAATCGCCGCAGAGAGGTTGGGGGCCCATTCCACGTCTCCGTCCCTCCTACCAGTCTCCACGTGGCTTCTTTATATTTTTAGTGATAGACTTCTGTTCGGCTAGACTTCAGGTGGTTTTCTAGGTTGATTGTTGTATACTTTAGTTGCAATTTTAATGTGTTCACGGAAGGACACAGGCATGGTGTCTACTCTGCCATCTTGGATCTCTCCTCTCAGACTCTTGAGAACATTTTTTTTCCTGTTAGGACACTGATCCCTTTTTAATGTACAAGCAGCTCTCTGACTTGTGCTTCTCTTCCCAGAATTCTAAGGCATTGATTCAAACAATGTGGATCAAATTAAATAATTGGCCCATAGGAGTACACTGTAACTGAGCAAATAGATGGTTAGAGGGGTCCCATTTGAGAATTCATCATTTGCTTTCAGTAGAAAGGGTAGTTTAATCTCTCTAAAAGTCTGTGTCACCCTGTGATAATTGATTTAGCCGTGGAATTAGCCTTTCAGAAAGCACCTGCATTTCTATGGCAGTTCTGCTGATGGAAGTCCTGGAGAGGCCCAGGAGTGTCTGGGGTGTTCTTTCTAGATATTCACAGGAGAGAAGGTGAGGACTGCAGCATTCAGAGGCGGTTAATTCCTAAGGGCTAGGCTTTGTTCATTTTGAAGAGAATTTAAATTGGCTGGTGTTCTAGAAACTGTGACAAAGAAATTCAGATGAGTCGTCAGAAGTTACTTGAGCAGCTTGGATGGTAGGCACTGTTGGTTCTCAGTACCAAAGATCAAACCTCTCCCCTCTTTTATAAGTATGTCTTAAAAGTTTGGGTAAGTACAAATGCCAGTTATAATCCATGTCTATTTCCAGAAAGCATTGCCATTGTCTTGTGGTCATGAGACTCAGCATGATGTACGCTGTTAACACATTGGCAAATCTTTCAAATAGTAAAAGAGGAAGCTATAAAAATTTAGGAGAATGTCACCATCTGCTAGTTCTAAGAGGGTAGAAGGTGGCATCATGGAAAGGTTTTGAAGAGCAGAACACTCTGAGGTGGACAAATGGTAACTTCTGTATTCTCCTAAAAGCACAGAAGGTGCCAAATACAGATATCTGAAAGGTGTTACATTTGGGGACCACCAAATTCAAATGTCCAGGTTTGTTAGTCATCAGTGACAAATGGGTAGCATGTTGCATTTTGTTTGATCTAGATCTCTGCTACTTAAAGTGTAGTTCTGACCAGCAACAAGCACCATCACCTGGGATCTAGTTAGAAATGCAAATTCAGGCCTCACCTCAAATCTAATGAGCCTGAATGCCTGGGGCTGGTGGTTAAGTATCTGCATTTTAACAATACCCCTAGACCAGTACTTCTCAAACTATCTGTGGAGGAGGGCAATTTTATTTTTTCCCCCAAATTTGTCACCCATTTTTTGGGTAAGACATCCTGTTCAGCAAGATAAACCCAGCAATCCCTCCCTGAGGTGTTGCAGCAATGTCCATTTCTATAGAAGTTTTAAACACTTACTCTCTACTTGCATACTTTTCCTACTGGAGATTGTTGTAATGAGAGTTCACGGCTGACATTGGTCCACATACCACACTTCGAGTAGCTAGTATCTAAGCCGTACTCTCCAGTACACTGGCCTTTCTCACTCCAGGATGATAACTATTGCTGCCTTGAACTCATGGATCTTTGCCATGAAACTCCACAGAGCCTCACAGAGAATAAAACTATGGAGATGAGAATTAATTAGAAAGCACTCTTCCATCTAGATCGGTCAGGCAGTTACTAAACACACTTTCAAATAGCTCTTTTTCAGCTGAAATAAGTCAGGCAAAATTTTAGTCATGGATGGATCATCTCATGTTATTGCATTAAGACGTTGAATTACAAAGATTTGCTTTTCGTGTATTACTGTTGTGGTTCATGAAACTCACAGTTGCCATGAGTATGTAGATATTATGGAGCAAAGTAAATTTATTTTCATGTCTCTCTTCTAAATGGAAATAAGTTTCTAATTTTCTGCTAAAAGGCTGTGTTAAGGAATTTGGCTGGTCAGTTGACATTTGGAGTCCATCAAATTCTAATTGATGAATAAACACAAGGAGAATGTTTCTCTTCTGGACTTAAATTATAGCGTTGTCTTTGTCACATGAAATTGAGGTGTTATAAAAATTTGCTTTAATCTGTACTCCATTTGGTTATCCATCCGATAGCCACATCTCTTAAAATCTTGTTAAAATACATTAGGGCTTATTACACCTCTTGTTTATATTAGGGGTTCAGTAACAGAAGGTGTCAATGATGTAAATATTACATAAAAGTAAAGGCTTCAGAGATGAAAACAGTGCTTAATGGAGCTGCTTTGCTAGTGGGAAATTAATTCTGATAATATCCAGAACCGGTTCTTACTCTGAGATGCTCCCCACTTACAGAGTGTCAAACAGCCTTTTAGCAACCTTTGAGAAAAAGAAAAATCTACGATTGTTTACATAAAAATGTTTCAAACTCTTTATCTGCTATAACTTTTGTATAGCCAAGTGGGTGCATTAGGATTTATACTAAGTCTCTTTATCTGGTAAGATAAAAGAAATGTTTATAATTTCTCTGAAATGTATTTGCTTTTCCTATGGCTGTGGATAATATCATTAACCCCCTAAAAGGAGCCATTTAAGAAATAGCTGTTTATCCTACAACACAAACAGTAGCATAAGCCTTTTGGTATTTTCTAAGGTCTAAAAATGAATAATTGGCCTTTTGCAGTTATTTGACCTCTTCTATAAGAAGCGGCTTGGTTTTTTGAAGTTTACCCCAGTTTTTAAGAATACCAATGGCAAATCGCTTGGAATGGTTTCTCATCTTGGTTTCTTGAATTCACATGTGACGAAAGTATATCCTGAAGAAAGTGCAAATTAAAATCACAATAAGGTGCTATTTCACACCCACCAGATTGGCAAAAAAAAAAAAAAATCCAAGGATACCAAGTGTTGGTGAGGACATGATGCAAAGAGAACTCTCACACAAACTGGTGGCAGCGTGAATTGGTACGGCCACTTTGGAAAACAACTTGGTCTTATGTAGTAAAGTACAGAGTGTGGATACTCTACAACTCAGAATTTCCCTTCCTAGGTGAACACACTATGGAGATTCTTGCATATGTACACTAGGATAAACACAAAAATATTCTAAGAGGTGTAGTTTCTGACAACAAAAATTCCCAACAGGAAACTTAAAAGGCCATCTAGTAAGAAAGATAAATTCATACTGTTATATTCATACAACTGCAGAAGTGATTAAAATATAGCTACATGCATCAACAAGGGTGAATCTTAAAAACATAACATTAGATTAAAGAGCAAGTTCTAGAAAAGATTTCATTTGAACAAAGTTAAATAATGTGCAAAACTAAGCAATATGGATGTGAGACAAAATGATTTAGAAGTACAAGTGCCCATGATGTAGGGGTGGTGGCCCTAAGTTGGTTTTCTCTTCCTTTCAGAAGGGGAAGAACACGCTGTGCTTGATACAGGACACATAGTGATATTGAGAAACTAATGCTGGGTGGCCCCTCAAGAGAAGTTAGTTACATATCAGCTGAAGCATTTGAAGTGCTTCTCACGTGGAGCCTTGCATTCTTGCTTTTGGTGTACACGTCCATGAAGAAGTTTGGTGACTGGTTGACTCAAGAGTCAGAAATCTGAACCTAAATCTTGACCCCATCGCTTGTTATAGGTGTAGTCCTGGGAAAATTCTATAACCCCTTGGAGCTTCTATGTCCACATCTATAGAATGAAGACCCACAGAAATTTTGTGAGATGCAAATGATGCAAATGATATGAAACATGTGAAAACAACTACAGCAGTGCCTGTGGTTGTTAATTAGCATTCAGTTATATTTGCTCCCTTAATTTTTTCCCTCTGATATCAAGTTGCTTGAGGGAAGGATCAGGGCACATTTATTTTCATTGTCTTAAGGGCCTGGAACATAACAGGTGCTAGATAAATGTTATTAAATGTGCAAATGAGAGGGCTATCGGTACAGCTTTGGAGCTAACCATTGCATCCTAGTAAATTAAATACCTTTTCCCCTTCATGAGATGTCCGTTAAGATGAGTATATTAGGTAGGCATTAGTTTTAGCAGCATTTAACAGAGACTCAAATGACAGGGGCTAAAGAGATAGAAATTTATTTGTCTCCCTTGTAAAGGTTTTGTTTTGTTGTTTTTTTGAGGAGCATCCGCTTTATTGGTCATTCGTGCTTAGAAAGGTGGTAGCTTGGGCCCCTGTAAAAAGCCTCAATGCAGGCAATGCAGGTTAACATTGATGTAGTGGCTCCATTGTGCGCCCAGTGACCTTTGACCTCATTGTCCCAGATGGAGGAAAGAGAAGAAGTGGTACATTGCCACCGTGTTTAATGACACAACCAGGAAGTCGCACATAATCTCTTTTCCTCACCTTCCATTACCCAGAAGTTCTAGCTGCAACGAGACTGGAAATGAAATTTTGTTCCAGCAGCCATGTGGCTTCCATTTGGAAAGGGAAACTAGATATTAGATAACAATCTGAAGTTCCTTCCACAGTCTTTCTTCTATAACACTTTTTGGGAAATGGAATGATTGCTGGTTCCCTATTGTGGACTATGAGGATTGCAGCCGCTTTCCAGGGGTGGAGGAGATAAAGTGTAGAAGCATCCTGAGTCCCAGATAAATAAGGAGTTGCCATTTATGGAATTATCCACTTATGTGTGACAAATAAATTGGTTTCTTTCAACCCCTATTATTTTGGATCTTTTTTATCCGCAACTAAACCAATATTCTAAATAATGTAATGGCTGGTGCGCATGTGTGTGTCTGTGGTGATGTGTGAGGTAAGGAAACTTGAACCCTTCTGTCCATGTTGTTACCCACTGGGGAACAAGTGGTTCCTCTCTCTCCTGACCGGGCAGCTACAATGACTGGCAGGAAACCATTCTCCTCTCCACCCAGCTGTGACTTCATTCTATTAGGTTAAAATTTAAATCAAGGGTGAGTTAATATACCGAATTGTACCCCAGTGGCCTCCAATTTATTCTCTTTCTCATTTATAGGGTCAGTCCTCATATACTTATGCTTTATACTAGCAGTACAAATTGTACAAGACTCTTTAAAAAAAACCAAGCCAATCAGAAATAATAAGATGATAAAACACAGCCCTGCCTCACTGTAGAACATCTCGGTATGTGAAAATTCAGATATATTTAGAGTGATAATGCCTATACAAAAAGATTGATCTCTTTACAAAATAATTTACTGAATATCTAATAATTGCTGAATACGTAAATCCCTTTAAGTAGTGACATTTACTTGCATATTTATAGTACTGTGCCCAAATTACTTGCAATGTTCACATAACCCATCTGTTACACCGGCTCAAATACCCGTTCTGGGTCTGAATAAAATAAATGGAATTTTATCAGTGTAACATTCTTTTTTTCAAGTTACTACCGCTTTGACATTATCAGTCAGTATGAATAACCTGAAGGAATAGTAAAGAAACATTTTCTAAAGACGTAGTAAAGGAATTAAAATGGCGTTCTAGTTTGCACAAGATCAACTCTTCCATGTTTCTTTCCATTACATTTTATCATCGGTCTGACACATATTTTTTTTTCCCACATTTTAGAGTTCTTACATTGTGTGCTTTCTAGTTTATATCTTGTATTTTTTTAATGTAATTTAAAATAAACCTCAACTCTAGGCATTTTCCCTTTTTACATTGTAGCTGTGATACCACAGAAGGTTGAACCTAAAATAATTATGATGCCTTAAGGCAAGACCTCCAGCTTTTGAAGTAGGCCAGGCTTTGTACCTAACAGCTTTCACCTCTAATAACACAGAAAAATACAAAAAACACCTACAGGAGAAACCAGCCTTTCATCTGGGGTGCCTTTTCTTTAGGAGTTCTTTAAAAACAAAACAAAACAAAACTGTTTTAATGATCTGTTTTCTTTCTTTTCTTCAGGAAGATGTTCTGGATTTGAATATGGTTTCTTTCTTTCCCCATGAGTTCATGAAGTCCACTTTTCATGAGCAGTCAATTAAGTAACTCACCAGCATCGCAGCCCCAGTTCCATTTGCAGCTCATGCTGCCACTCCGCGAGGAGGAAAGGCCCTGGTGGGCATCCAAGTCCACACACTAGGCAAGAAAACCAAAGTTTGAGAAGGGCGTTGAGGACCGTCTCTTCTGGGTTATACCAGGACGAGGGAAGCATTCAGAACCTCTATCAGGGTCCTCGTTCAGGTTGATTACCTTCTCTTCCATTCCCAGGGAATGTCTTCTCCAGATAGGCAGGGATGGGAAAATCTTTTATTAGCACTCTAAATGCAAATTTATAGAAAGGAATTCAATTACCAGAGAGAAAACCATACATACCTACAGACAATGTAAGACTATCCAAACAACCCTTATACCGGCAGGCTCTCTTCTATCCAGATATCTGCCCTATGGTCCATTCTGCTCACTCTCTGCCTCTGGGAAACAGGAGATTCTCTTTCCAGAGTTCCTCAACTGAGGCTGCCTCACTTGGGGGTTTCTACTCCCAGCTCTGACCTGGCCAGAGTCCCCTTGGGACTTCTTCAAGACGCCAACACACATCTGTATCACGGGTTCTGCTGGCCTGGTTTCTGGGTTCTCTGTGTTGGTTGCTGAACTCCAGTGCACTCCACTTGGAAGAAGGAAGCAGAGAAAATCCCCTCATATTCACTTCTGAAGTATTGCTTTTTCTTCTTGCCACTGTGTTGCTGGCCCATCTCCAGTCTCCGCCTATCTTCATGCTGGACAAAGCAAACACTAGAAAAACTCAAATAGTTCCTCTCTCTACTTCAGAAATGTCCAGTAGAATTGCATCTAACCACAGGCCAAGTGCTTCCAGCCTGCCTTCTTCTGCCTGACAGACCCCAGCATATGAGCTCTGGTAACCATTTTCTGTCCTGCGTTTTATTTACTTCCTGCATGAACCATAGATGCTTGTTGGAGTGGAAGACAATCAAGTGGAATGAAGAGAACTTTGACCTTGAAGCCAGACAGATAGCAAGCTTAGTCTGTGTGTCTTCATATGTCATTTACCTCACTGAGACTCAGTTTCTTCATCTGTAAAATGGATGTACACGTGACCCTACTGAGTCAGCAGGAGCCAAAAGAAACCTCTTTACTAGGGATTCCCCCTCAGACTAGTCTCCATACATCTTTTTCTTTTAAGTTTTCAATACAATATTATATTAGTTTCATATGTACAACATACTGATTAGTCATTTATATAACTTAAGTGATCACCCCAATAAGTCTAGTACTCATTTGACACCATACATAGTTATTACAATATTATTGACTGTATTCCTTATGCTATAATTTACATTCCCATGACTGTTTTTATAACTGACAATCTGTGCATCTTAATTCCTTCCTCTTTTCACCCCCACATCCCTTCCCATCTGGCATTCATCAAAATGTTCTCTGCCTCTGCATGAGTTTGTTTCTGTTTTGTTTGTTTGTTTTGTTTTTTTAGATTCCACATATGAGATCATATAGAATTTTTCTTTCTCTGTCTGACTTATTTCACTTCGCATAATACCCTCTAGACCCATTCATGTTGTCACAAATGGCAAGATTTCATTCTTTTTTATGGCTGAGTAATATTTTGTTGTATACATGAGCCACTTCTTCTTTATCCAATCATCTATTGGGCACTTAGGTTTCTTCCATATCTTGGCTATTGTAAATGAAGCTGTAATCAACATAGGGGTACACATTTCTTTTTGAATTAGTGCTTTGGATTTCTTTGGATAAACTCCCAGAAGTGGAATTGCTGGGTTATATGCTAATTCTATTTTTACTTTTTTGAGGAATCTTCATAATGTTTTCCATAGTGGCTGCACCAATTTACAATCCCACTAATAGTGCATGAGGGTTCCTGTTCTTCACATTCTCACCAACACTTGTTTTTTTTGTTTGTTTGTTTTTTTATTGGGGAATTGGGGGATGGCAACAATGCTGGGGAATTGGGGAAGGGGAACAGACAAGTTGCTGTCGTTTTGTTCTTTTGTCTAGTTGTGGAGGACGTTGCTTCACTGGCCCAAGTTGGCACCATCATTGTGCTCTTCCCAGGTGAGGCAGATCAGTCGCCGGCTTCTGGATGGCCACTCACGGCGGCTGCTGGCCGCTCACACTGGCTGCTGGATACACACAGTAGCCTATGGCAACCCACTGCAGCAGGGGCTGCAGCCTACGCTGTCGCTGGCAACTCATGGCAGCCCAGCTCCAGGTTGAGCTGTTGTTCAGCATCTTAGCTTTAGAGGGCAGTGTCACTGGCCCTCATATGTGGGATCCGAACTGGGGCCCTCTGACGTCCCAAGCCAGTTCTTAACCAACGTGCCACTCGGCCGGCCCTCACCAACACTTGTTGTTTGTTGATTTATCGACGATAGCCATTCTGACAGTTGTGAGATGATATCTCATTGTGGTTTTTATTTGCATTTCTCTGATGATTAGTGATGTTGAGCATCTTTTCATATATCTATTGGCCATCTGTAGGTCTTCTTTGGAGAAATGTCTATTCAGGTCTTCTGCCCATTTTTAAATAGGATTGTTTGTTTTTTTGGTGTAGTCTCCATACATCTTTTTAAAGATTTACCATATGTTCTGTGTACTAGCTAAAAGCCAGACTCACTTAAGAAAGCTGAAATGGAAGCTAGTATCAAAATCTAGAGATTTTCTAATTATGTGTTGTCATGAAGTTTAGTTGCATTAATTGATAGAAGAGAGCTCAGCAGAGCCGGCTTCATGGCGGAGACACTGCAGGTTCTGTTCTCTTTTCCCTTATAGCAGTCCCTGCAGAGCCCTAGGAAATCGGGGACGAGGGGTTGAAAAGTATCCTATCCCCATGCAAGTCATTTGGAATGTTGGGTTTTCTATTATAGAGCAGGCTTGCTGGTGTGTGTTCCCTTAAAGCAGAAAAGGTAGAGCAAAATTCCACATACAATTCTGTTCAGGAGTGATCACGGAAGGTGTGCAAGTGGGTTGACATGAGGCTCCTTTAAACTTCCAATGTCTCCTTGCTGATTATGATCTGAGACAAGGAGCATGGGCTCACCCAACATGCCTGTTAAGCCCTGGAAAGGATTGGTGGGGCTTGTGGCCATTTAAAAAGCCACATAACCACACTTGTGGTTGAGACTGCAACGGCTCAGAGGAGTGGGTTTGAATGTGAGGAAAGAACTGAAGCTATTACTAAAGAGGGATTCTTTCTTTAGAAAGCCTTCCCCTTCCCCTCGGCATGTGGTTTGGTTCTGTCCAGCCCCCATCGCTCCATGTCATTCAGGCAGGGCATTGTGCAGGTGCTTGGTGTTAATTCCATATCTGAGGCTGTCGCAGTCGCCCTGTGAACACATTTATTGCGTGCCATGGTCTTAACTCATTTATTTCTCACAGCCCCTCTGTTAGGCGGGCATCGTTGTTATCCCCACTGCACAGAGGAAGAAACTGAGGCACAGAGAAGCCTAGCTTTCTTCCTGCCCTCCTATTACTAGCAATCATTTTAATTTAATAGGTATTGACTTGATAGTGGCAATTTCTAGAGATTTTTTTTTCCCTAAATGATCTTCTGGACCATTTACTCACTAAGCAATTCATATGTTTGTTTCATACCATAACATACGATGCAGACACAGCCAGGAAGAGACTACTGGAAGTCACTGATCTTAGACCCGGCTATGCCATGGAGCAGATGGCCTGAATGGTCGTGTTTATAGGGGACACCTGTAGTTTTCAGATCTTTTACTGGCCTCTGACCTCAGGCCTGTGGTTCTATAAAACACCCCACATTTCCTTTCAAAGCAAAGGCATCAACAGGCATCCCTTCTCAGGTGACTCTTTAAAGGAGTTTCAATAGCCCATTCAGTTTGAATACCTGTGGAGCAAATTCCAAATTGCGTATTATATCTTCTGTCATGACTACAAATAGAAATTAAAAATGGAAGTCAACATGCAATGCCTCTATTGATCACGAGGAAGAATCTGGGCAGCATGGTAGCAGCTCTCACACTGCGTTTGAGATCCACTCCTCCCTTTTGACCTTAATAGAACCTGGAGTGAGATTTGACTACAGACATGAGCAGGGTAGGAGGCCAGAGCCAGGTGCTGGATGACGGCAATGGCATTAGCAAAGCACCTACAGTACTGCACTGGAATAAGAACCTCGGATTACTGGGAGATTGCTGGCAGACAACACTGGGAAATTAGGATGCGGCAGGCAGATGAAATTGACTAAGGCAAGTGGTTCAACATTTAGGCTGTTAATCCCAAGTGTTGTCACCATGCTGTTTTTATAGTAGCTGGCTTATACTGTAGTGGTGGGAGAGGGTCACCAGGAAACTAGGCTGCACGGCACTGGGCTGGCTCATTATGAGCCAAAGAAATGAGCCAAAGAAATCCAAGCCAACTGTCATTGTTAAGAGATGGAGAAGGAGCAGCGAGTGCCTGGTTCCCTGCTCTGTTCTTACCCTGTGATCCTAGTGACAACACACTGTGTGTTTCCAATTTCCCCCCAATGCCATGATTTTCAAGAGTTCTGCCCATTTGTCCTCTTAGGATGTGTTAGTCCAACGCAGGTTGGAAATGCTACTATTGGGTCATCGGGAAAGTCATGACACATTTTTGCATTGAAAAACATAGAAAAATACATTATGACTTTCCCGACGACCCACTATTTCAGTTATCCTCAGGTAGTCTCACAGGTTCTTCCATCTCACTTCCCTCTCCCCTCACCTCTGGAAATCCTTTATACCCTTCAATGAAATTGAAGGGTATAAATCCTTTATACCCTTCAATTTCAAGAGTCAACCTGGAAGGCGGGGGAAATGTCCCCTTGTCCTTTCAGTCCACCTTGTATTTTTCAGACCCCAATGTTGTTGGTCCTTATAATTCTCTCAGTCTCTTTCTTATCACAACCAGAATCCAGTGACGAAAAGCAAAAAAATTTCACCTATTCCTAAGTGTCTCAAGACACTGGAGACAATGTGTATAAATCCACAAAATTAGAAAACTAGGCTCCAACAATATGTACATCTTCAATGTGCATCTCAGAGGCTGCTTTTCTGTAAGTCTTCCCCAACTTTCTGGTTCTCCCTATGCTAAGCTGGATTTAATTTTCTCTCCTTTGTGCTTCCTGTATTATAACATGCACCCAGCTCTTGTATTTATCTTTATTATTTGTGTTCATGTCTGACCTTGACTGAAAGCTCCCTGAGGGTAGTATTCATGTCTTCTTCATCCCTGCTGCTTCTGTATCACCTTGCACAGTGCCTGTGCAAAGTGGATATGTATAACGTCTTGCTGAATTGAAGTAGATTAAAAGTCTGCCATAGTCCAGGTTGAACTGAGAACATCAGACATTTCTGGAAACCTGAAGATTTGTGTGGTGTATTGAGGCAGCTGTAGATGAGCCCTCCAAGGAGGGAGAGACACTTGCAGGTCTGGATGTTTCTACACCAAGCCAGTTCAGATCTACAGTTAACACTTGAGCAAGTTGGGGGTTAGGGGCACAGTCAAAAATCTGTGCATAAGTTTGACTCCCCCAAAACTTAACTACTGATAGCCAACTGTTGACTGGAAGACTTACCAATAGCAAAAATAGTCAGTTAGCACATATTTTGTATGTTGTGTATATTATATACTATATTCTT